GCGCTGACCCGTCCATGGCGGGGTTTTGCCCCCGGTTCCTATACCTGTTTCACTCTCGTTTAAAACCGCCCGGTTGGAACGTATATGTGCAGAGCCCCTTATATTTTTATCCCTGTCGTAAAAAAGCCCAACCGGACTCAAATGGACTGCTTGCGACACTGACGACTTGCGCGACTTTGTTAGCCTGATCGGACCGGAGTTGAAAGCTAGACCCTCTATCGTGTATACACAGTGCCTTTTGGTACCGTCGGTTCGGTTTGGTTCAGTTTGGTAGGCGGGGCTAGCCAGATTGAGGTCCAAAGGTGTCCATCGGTTGGCACAAACCGAACAAGGGACAGAGAGTGTGCTCGATTGAGAGAGAGAGAGAGAGAGAGAGAGAGAGAGAGAGAGAGAGAGAGAGAGAGAGAGAGAGAGAGAGAGAGAGAGAGAGAGAGAGAGAGAGAGAGAGAGACAGGGAGAGAGGCTGACGACGTCGCTGAGGCCAATAAAGAGACTCATAAACGAAATGAGAATTGTACGAAAGGAGTGGGAAGTCATATTGAACCTTAATTTGTTTATTAAAATGAGTTTAATAACCTGTAACGTTTATTTTCTCTAAAGTATTCACTCATTCTGCTTTTGTGTCTTTTATGCAGATTTCCTAAACAACACCCGTTACGTGTGGTATGGTGTTGACCAGTCTTGGTGTAAACTTCAAGACCTATCCAGTGGACGGTGGGATTGGAAAACTTGCCAAACACAACATCATTACCCTTGTGAAGTATCCATCCCGTTACGTGAGTGCATCTTCTTCCATCAGTCTGTTTGTTTCATTTTGCTTCAATTCACACTCGTTTCTTGTTTGTTTGTTTGTTGTTTTTTCCCACGTTCTCTCTGTCCCGTTCGTCCCTTCCCCTCCTTTCTGCGAACAAACACACACACACACACACACACACACACACACACACACACACACACACACACACACACACACACACACACACACACACACACACACACAGCTCTGTGAATCTTCAACTTATGAGCTTTGGTTTTAGCTCATTTTTGCCCATACCGTTCTGTGGAAATGATCCGGACAAAAAAGTGTCAAATTAGTAATAATGATGATGATAATAATAATAAAAATAATAATAATAATAATAATAATAATAATAATAATAATAATAATAATAATAATAATAATAATAATAATAATAATAATAACAATACTACGAGTAATAATAACAATACGTGTACTATTATTGTTAATAATAATAAAAATAATAATACATAAATAATAATAATAATAATAATAATAATAATAATGATAATAATAATAATAGTATGTTGTTGTTGTTGTTTACAAATCCTTTTAGCTGCGAGCATTTCGCTCTTGGCAGCGCAATGCCTCCCTCAAGTAACCACATGTCCTTGTCGTCTGGTCAACACCAGAGTAGAGCAGGCTTTGGTAGTCTGTAGGTGTGTGTAGGAGCCCGCGTCAAAGAACTGCCAGGTTTGGGCAGTGAAGGAGAAGATGTTCAACGGTCTCCTCGTGGTAGTCACAGTGTCTGCAATGGGGTTCCCACATGGGGTTAATTCTGTTAATGTGCTTGTTTTCCTGTGCGCGCTGTGAAGATCAAAGTCTGATCAGCTCTACATAAGAGATTCGATGGGTCTTTGGGGTTGTGTTTGTCCATGTACCCGAAGAGAGATTTTCCTATTTCTGCGTTGTCCCATCTGTTTAGCCACTCGTCTCTGCTTTTGGCTTGGATGATCCCTCTGCAGGTCTGTAAAGAGGCGGCTGTGTCTGTCTGGGGCAGGCTTGCTCCAGTCTTTGATAGCTGGTCTACAGACTCATTCCATGGTACTCCAGAATGGCCAGGCTCCCACTGCAGTGTGACCCGGACGGTATAGGAAGTGCCCATCTGTTTTACAAGGCTGAGAATGTTCCCATCTCATCTGTATTCTCCTCCTCCCTCGACGGCTTGGAGTACTGACATTGAGTCAGAGAAGACAACAACATCCCCTGGTGTTACTGTGCCTTCAAAAAAGTCTTGGGTGATCTGCTCCGGGGTCTTTACTATGGCAACTATTTCTGCGTCATAGTTGGAGCTGTATGTCCCACATGGGCCAAATGGGTCGAGTCTGATTCTTCTCTCCAGTGATGTTTCGATATTTGATGATGACATACATACATACATACATACATACATACATACATACATACATACATACATACATACATACATACATACAAACATTCCTACATACATACATACATACATACATACATACATACATACATACATACAAACATACATACATACATACATACATGCATATACATATATACATACATACATACATACATACATACATACATACATACATACATACATACATA